GGGGAAAAATTAAATTTGGAGTTAAGTGTTAGATTCATTTTAAAACAACTAAGTAATGTGTGAGCTTGGGCTGTATAGTGTCTGAATTATTGTGAGATTACATGAGGCTACATATGTGAACTCTTTAGGATAGTGCCTGGCACATGGTTAGTATTCAGTAAATGTTGAATAGCACTGTACCTTTGTTTTAGTTTTGTCCTATTAGGGAAGACTGGCTCTTTAACAAACAATTACAGCAAAATGCTGGATACTGTAATAGTAGTATTGATATACTGTGCAATTGTGACAGGCACTGATCTAAGTTGTACCTTGGACTGCACTGTTGAACTTCTCAAAGTCTCTGCCTCCCTGAAACTTTAACATGGAAATAATAGATAGTTCCATTCAACATCCTAGAGGATATAAGGTCTGAAGAGGCTTCACCCAGAAGCCCACACCAGAACTGTCTAGAAGAACAGTGAGGAGTTTACCAAATAGCTAGGCACAGACATGGAAAAATAATAAGCAGAAGAAACAGGACATGGGAAATGGAGATAGCACTCATTAATTGTAGCTCACAGGGGCTGAGAATTCCAGGTATGAGTGTGTGTATGTGTGTGTGTGTGTGTGTGTGTGTGTGTGTGTGTTTAATACCAAACCAGCTTCCAGCAGTCTTAGAGAATTATGCTGAAACAACTAAGACCTGCACTGCTTCAAGTAGCACTTGAAGAAAATGTGAATGTCATGGCAATAGATTACGCAGCTGTGACCCAGGACACCCACAGGGAGAAAAATCAGGGAAAAGATGTCATCCCTACAAACATCACTTCTCTGACCATAACTACTTAGAACATTTTGAGTTCTTTTTTGAACAGGCAACCACATTTTTTGCTCTGTTTCTCAGAGAGATGTTGTTAGATTTTTCTGTCTCCACAACAACAACCAAAAAAATCAAAAACAACCATTTTTAAAGTAATTCCATAGTTTAAGCCATATGCTTCCCTTCCAACCCCCTCCCCCCTTATTGAATATCATTCATTTAGGCCTGCGGAATTCCTCTCCTAAATTGGAGGTTTGCATAAGTAATTATATCAAATGATGTGTTTGTTTATATCTCCAAACCACATTCAAAAGCTTGCCTGTGATTTCCCTTTGAAATTCAATTCCATCATGTCAGTCCCCAATTTAATGTGCCCGGTGGGTCTGCAGTTGTATGTGTGATGTACACGCCTCTCTCTCACACTGATTACAAGATGAGGTTGCCTTCCACAGTGGTGAGTCAGAGAGGTTGAGCAGGGAGATTACCCCCTTTTTTCTACTTCTCTGTTCCCTTCATTGTAAAGCCCAAATAAATTACAACAAAATAGTAGAGGATGAAGATGCAGTATTGGTAATTTTAATCAATTCTTCTAGACTGAGTCTTCTTGACTCACTGCATCCCTTTCTGACTGTACAAAACAGCAGTGCTGTAGCAGTTCCATGTCTCATCCTGAGTATATAGCTCTAGAAGGAAGAAAGCTTTTATTCCTTCTTGGTTATGCTGACACTGGCTTGATAACAAGATTTATTTTTCAGTGCAATAACTAATAGTCATCGCTTTGACCCCCAAAATGTCATTGTTTCTAGGTCCCAGATGCCCATGGACAAAAATGATCATTTATTCCATCTCTTCTTCATACCTGAATCCTAAATTTATTCATTCATTCATTCATTCACCTGCCTTTTCCAAACAGAAAGACTTGTTAAACTTTAAAGGCAGAGTTTTTTATTTCCTGCTGCTTTTTAACAGATTTATTGTTATATAACATATGTAAAATAACATTCATTTTTTTAACATTCTACCTTGTATACAATGCGATGATTTTCTTAATAGTTATAAATTATGCAACCATCACTGCAATTTTATTTAGAAGTTTCTCTTCATCCCTAAAAGAAACTTACAACTACTAGCAGACTAGCCCTATCCTTCTCTTCAGACCTCATGTTTTCCTAATCATCTCCACTTTTGATCTGGCATTCCTTTTTGCCTTTTGCTTATATCTGTGAAGGTAAAAAAGACAGGAGTCCCAAGAGCTGAGACCCACAAAGGCTTTCTCCTCCCCCCACCCCAGCAGGAACTGCCTGACTTCACTCAGCCCAGGTTTATTGTCATGTGTGCTGTTTGAGGCTTTTCAGGAAGCTGGTCTCTTCATCTGTTAGTCAACAAATGTGTGGTAAACACATCCTGGTGCAGGGTGCAGATGGAAGGAGACCGCGCTACTTTCTCAGTTACATGCAGACACTGTGAAAATAAGGGAATTTCCCAAAGAATTGCCCCAAGAATCATCTGGAGAGGAAGCTGACCTCTCCCTTGTTCCGTTCTGCCTGCGTGACCCTACTCGGATAGGGGCACTGATAACAGGAGACTCCTGGGGGACAGAGGGCAAAACAGCACCTGCTCTTTTGTGTAGAAGAGTCACAGATGAGCAGCAGGGTGGAAGCTCACAGCCCTTTCACCCATTTACAGCCTCCATATAACAAGTTTTCTCAGCCCCACGGTGAACTCTAAGAGAAGATGCCCCCCAGGAGCCTGTGAAGCTCCATCAAAGCCCCCTGCCTGGTGAGAAGACAGCTACTCCTCATTGCTCACTACTCCTCCCTGACTTATAACCTTGCCAGATAGCATGGTCTGACAATGTAGATCACATGTTAGACACCCACTGCTGCAACCACACAGACCCTTAGTCAAATGAATCTGAAAGCTGTGCTCCCTTTATTCTTCCTTTATCACCCCCTTCCTGTGCACTCACACATTGACTCCAGTCCCCCTTCATCTCCACACGCACCCACATCAAGCCCAGTGGTCTCATTCAGGTGCCAGACAAGCTTGGTGCATTTCTTTCTTGGGTGAGGCTGGGCAGGAGGAGAATCAATGTCAATAAAAAGTTAGAGTGAGATTCAGCCAAGAATAGTAGAATTAGACAGCGCCATTCTCAGCATTAGAGGACTGATTCAAACCTAATCCCAAGAGATGCTGATTCAGTAAACAACAGATAGAGTAGAGCAACAAATCTGTGCTTCCAAACTTGCCCAGGGGATGGAAAGCTAGGGATGGGAAGTCACTGACCTTCTCACTGAAAACTTACTGCCAGTCGTCTCTCCATAACAACAGACAGCACCTCATCTTCATATCCAAGAATGCCCAATACCCATAAAGATGTAACATGCACCTCCTCCAACCACAGATACACCTCACATAAAACAATGCCATTGTGAACAAATGCATTCTAAGTCTTACAAAGCTGAAAATTAGAACCTAATCAGTCTCTTCCATGACAATGTTTGTAATCAAAAATTGTTGTGTTGTAATTCTTTGTTCTAGGCAGGGAGCTATGTGATATCAAAAGGCAGGACCTTCCCATGAAGTAACTGTCAGTCAGTCAAGTGAAAAATTATAGACAAGCCAGCAAAGAATTGTGCACAGGGCAAAGCAGCATGATAGAGGAAATTACTGATTATTTGGGAACATGTCAGATGGACACCCAACCTGGTAAAGAGGGTCAGAGAAGGCTAATACCTCAGCTGAATCTGAAGACTCTGTGCTGTTGCGGAGTGATGAATATAGTTGATAATAGTGTATTATAGAATTCAAAATCAATGACAGTAAAACTCAAAGATTCTGACCACAAAAAATAAATATTTTTGGTAAAATACATGTTAATTCATTTGATTTAATCATTCCACGTGGTGTTCATAAGTCATAACATCCCTTGTACCCCATTGGTGTGCATTGCAAATTGATAATGAAAAAGAACAAAATGTAAAGAAAGATCTCTGAGTGAAGTAGTGGCTGGGCTGCACCCAGAATAATGCACAGACATGCGGTGGTGACGCAAGATTGCTTTCCACATCCCTGAATACACAGAACAGAAGGGACTGCAGCTTGTAAAGAGCCATGCTACCCTGAGCCAAAAGGTATTCTGAAGGCTATGGAGAGTCACTTACTCTCCTATGGCTTCTTCTTGGCTTTCTCTAAATCCATGTCCTCCCACCCACCACTCTGTGCAAGATGGAAGTTTGAGTTCAAGGGCTTTTCTGCAGACCTCGCGGGTCTTTTCCAGTTAGTTCCATGAGCCTCACTCTGCAGCACTGGGAATAAGGTTTTCATGTGATTTTCTGTGTTCTTTCCTGGCCAGTCAGACTGTACCCTGAAAGCAGCCCAACTCATATTTTCTTCAGGGACATCAAGAAATTGAGAAATGCAATATAAATTTGATTTCCTAATTGCCATTTGACAATAAAAATTACAAATTCTGCCAAAGACAAATTGGCACATTAAGCTGGGAGGCCTTCAAGGCTCTACCTTCTCATTCCCTTTTCTTTGTCTTTTACACTCAAAAGAGTGATTTGTTTATGAGAAATACTATCGGGGAAGAAAAGATAAAGAGATATTTTCCATATGAAACTGATTTAGTGTAAGACAAACACAAAATGGTAAAATTATAGTGTAAAATCTTTAATGTTAAGAGTTACTAAATTTGAAGTAATTATGTGTAGAAGTAGTTATTACAAAAATAACCTCCTTTGTAAGAGTAACAAAAATTATATAACCATATAAAATTAAATTGTAAAAATGCTTTTTAATAGCCTGAATCTAATCAATGTCAGCAACCTATTAATTGTTCAAGAACTTTAAAATCTTTAATGAGGCTCCTACAGTAGAATTTACAGTCATATGTAAATGAATCTTTGAAGAAAAGCCTCATTATCAGAAAAACAATGGTTCTTTAGTGAGTTCATACATCCCCAAAGATGACAGTACCTCCTTAACTGTGGTAAGCACAACTAAAACAATTTTTTCAAGTTTTGTTAACAAATTTTACTTTCAGAATAATTTCTGAGACCATTGTCACTGTTTTGGGAAATTGAACAGTTACTGCTCCCTGTCACTTTTACTTTTCCTCTAACTGGACTTGTTTCTCACACTCAGTGAGCTACGTGTCCCAGATATTTAAAAGTCAAATATTCTCATTTCTACACAGGTCTGATTACCACAACCTCAAGGAAATTGGATCGGGAACAGCAGGCAGAACATTTTTTGGAGGTAAGCACATGGAACTAGCCTTCATTAAAGCTGACTTTCACTAAACTTCTTTAACCTTCATCACAAATGAGAACTTTAGTATATTTGGACAGTGAGTTTCAAATGAAGAAATCACTTGGACTGATTGGTTCAGAATTCAGAGATTTCTGGTGCTTTCCTCCCAACGCCTTCCTGAGAACCGAGCAAGGGCTGTGAAGCAGCCTTTACCATCCCCTAAAGACAAGCGAGTGTATTGACATAGCTGCCTTCCGTTCAGGCCCCTTTGTCTGTAATTGGAAAATAAGATTCCCTAGCACAACCCAGTGAGCCATGTGGCCCCAGATATCAAAAGAGAAAGAGCAACAGTGCCACCATTAAACTGAAGTGCATCATTTGTGAAGTGTGTTGCTCTCCTCACTTCTTTTCTAAGGAAAGGACTGGGAAAGGGAAGGCTGCTCGTTGATTCACAGCCTGAGATGACTGTTTCTGAAACCATAAAATGTACTCCTATAATTCATTAAGACAGGAACAGCCGCAATAAACTCTAAGAGCATTATTTCTGGAGAGAGAGAGAGAAAAAAAAACTGTAAGGAAAAGGATGAGAAAATAGATATGAAAGAGCTTTGGAGAACATTCTTTCTATATGTATCAAGTATTGTTATTGGGAAGCATGAAGTCTGGGTAATTTGTGTGGCGTTGTGATTTAAGTGTGACCAAGTAATGTGGAATGGATGGCAGTGCTCAGGATCTAGGACTTTGTTAAGGATCTATAATGTGTCCGTGCTACTAAAATGATCTTTGTCTAAGACCCACTTAAAGGTATTTGTCCACCACACTTCACACACACACACACACACACACACACACACACACACACACAAAGTCTTATGATAGGATCTCTTCTGGTGTCCTCCTTTACATAATTTCAGCCGTAATGATTTATTTAAAGAATCATGTGCTGGAAATCAGCTTACATGAGTCTTGAGGTATGCTGCTGTGATTAGCTTCAAGTTTTGGATGATGCCATTTAGTTGCCCAAACCTCAGTTTCCCTTACTGTGAAGTGTGGCAAATAATTACTAATCCATATAGCTATTAGTATCAAACCAAATTTGTAAAGTATTACATATAATAAAGGATTATTATCCTGCAGTAAGAACTATGATATCCCTTTAAAACATTCCTTTATCTCATAAAGATAAAAGACTCTAGACTGCAAAAAATAAATATAAAATATAATAATTCTTTTTACAAAATCATATCAGTGGGCTATAGTGTCTACCAGATCCAGAATTACAGTACATTTACCAGAACAATAAAACCTTATGTTGGATTTATGTGCCTTTTTCCTTTCCAGAAGAGAGCCCAGGACACCTGGAGAGGCTGTATTCTGAGATAGTTGAACTCATTACCTCCCAGCAGGAAGAAGGGAGGGTGTCTCATTAGCTGGGGATTCTAGCAGAGATCACTTACTGCCTTCTCCTCACAAGGTGGTGTAGGCAGGGGGGTGTGGTGCAGAGTTCACATGAAGATGAAACTATGGTTAGGAAATGAGCAAGAGTGCTTTCCAGACATCTGAGTTCTTTGTCCAAAAGAATCCTTCATGATTTCACATTCTTTACAGACTTACATAAATACAGAGTGATAGTTCCTCACTTTGAACTAACAGAGTTTGAGGTCTAGAACATAGTTTCACAATACCTGCTATAATCTGCATGGGAAGGTTGAGCATAGTGTTGTTGAATGATTAAAATATATGTAAAACATCCAGCCCAATGCCTGGTCCTAAGTAGGTACTCAGAAAAGTATAGTTATAATCGTTGTAATATTAGTTATTATCATATGGTGATATTATACCAGAACCCTCCTAAAGATTTAACTTCATCTCTGCACTCCATGAAACTTAATAGTTCCAGGCAACTGAAATGCAGAAGGAGCCTGGACTCACTATAAGTTGGAGACACAGAGTGAACAGAAAGAATGGGGAGAAGGCACATGATAAATGAGTAAATGCCAGAACTTCAGAGAGGTGACTGAACGAAGGTACCATTATAATACCTGTGGTGGTTAAGCTAATTTTGTCAACTTGATTGGCTTGGGAAACACTGAAAGGATTAGTAAAACACACTTCTGGACATGTCTCGGTGGTTTATGGAGATTTGACCTAGGGGTACTATATCTGGGCACTCATCCCTTCCCTTTTGGCATTGTTTCCCTGCTCTGCTTCTTGGCCATCATGCACTGGGTACTTTTGCTCTGCCACACCCTTCTACCATCATGTTTCTGCCTAGAAGCCAGCTGACAATGGATTGAATCCCCTGAAACCAAGTACCACAAATGAAACCTCTTCCCCTTTAAGTTGTGGGTGTTAAGTATTGTATCTCAGCAAATAGGGAGGGAGATGATATGGAATATTCAGTACACTTATTAGGAAGCCATGTTTGAGGAGGTGGCATTTGATTATATGATGCCATCTTTCTGTTGAAGAACCAGGACCAAAGCCAGCACAATGAGAAGTAGAAAGGTTGAGCAGCAGTAGAGGGTAGAGGCTGATAGGAAATCAAGTCTGGAAAGCAAACGGACAACTGTGGTAAGGATTCAGAATCTTTTCTTGAGCTCAGTAGAAAGCCATTAGACAGGAGTGACAGGATGTGATTGCCAAAATAATGGCAGTGGGCTTGGGCAGGGCACCAGGGACAGCAGGGAGTGCGGGCACCTTTTATAGAGATCCAGGTGAGGGCCAGTGGAGGTTTGGATGAGGATGAGGGCAGTGGGTCAAGAAGGAAACAAGTCATCTAATACAAATCCCTTCATGATTCCAGCTAACAAGCAGTATACCCACTTTTCTAATGCTTTCAGAGTGGAGACTGTAAAGACTGTAGGTGTCAGAATTATACTAACTTGCCCTGAAGTACACCCTACTGCTTCATCAACTCCCAGAAGCCCTCAACACACTGCTGCCATGTTTACTAAACCTCCTGCTAAGGCTTCAAAAACCACCTGACTCTAAGCCTCAGACTCAGTCTCTCTCTCTATTTCTCTCTCTCTCTCTCTCTCTCTCTCTCTCTCCCTCCCTCCCTCTCTCTCTCCCTCTCTCTCATTATCTCATGACTTATCTTTCTGTCTCTCTGTCTCTACACACTCTCTCATTCTCACTCTCTATAATTTCTTGGCTGTTTTGATTCTGTTCTCTATAACATTGCTATGAGAGTTTGAACCATATCCCTTTCATTCTTTCTGGATGTGTTACAGAAAGAATATTGCTTTAACTTAGCCCTGCAAAACAGTGAATGAAAACATCATTAAGAGTCCAGAATGAAGTTTCTTCTTATACACAAATTTTTGTAACACAGGTACATTTTGTGAATTTCAGGGGCTGGATGAGGGTAATTAACCTCCCAGAGAGTCTTTAATTGTGAAGATAACCTTATGTTCCTCTTAAACTCATATTAACCTTCTGGCTCTATTTTGTATTGCCCCTTTCCAATAAAATAAAATTGACTCTTCTTGAAAGGAACTATTTAGAAGCTGACCTGGCAGGTACACTTCTGAATAGATAACTAGAAGGACCTTAATGATGTGTTTGTAGTTTACTATCCCCATAATAGAAGACACTTTACTTGTACACTGCTAGCACTCTCTCCATAGTTTAGAATATTTAGTTTTACATGTGTCACTATAAGACTTTGTGATAGGGCACTCATCTTAAATCTGTGGGTATCAGAGGAAAGTTGTCATTATCAGAATCCAAAGGATTTGTAAAGCAACAAAAGTAGCAAAGAACTGAAGGCAAAATTCACAAGTACATTTTATACTGCTTTGGTGAATTCTAAGTGTTAACTCTTGCCTGATTTGGAAGTCTTTTGTGTGCAAGCATTACCCTGATTTTCTTTCCCTTCCATAAAATGCAAAAATATACAGTTGTTAGCTCACTAACTCAAAGTCATCTCCATTCCTTGATGGCCAGTTACAACTTAATAGGAAGTAGAAGGCTAATTTTAACATACAGATACAGAGAATTGGTAATGGACACATAACCTAAATAGTGAATTAAAGTTTTAGTTTGATGATTGTGACTTTATCTCTGATTACTTCATTGTAAGGGAAGGAAGCTGTGAAATAGGGAATAAATGCACTCTTTCTTATAATCAGTTAACAGATTGTTTTAGATTGCCTTCTTATACATTAAATGTTTTAAATTCCTCATGAGCATGGAACTTGATTTATCAATATAGTGATCCAGACCAGGGATTTAGCTCAGCAGCACAGTGCCTGCCTGGCAAGCATGAGGTCCTGAGTTCCATCCCTGGTACCAAAAAGGGGGGAGGGGGTGAGAATGAGAATATAGTGAGTCAAGGTAGTGCTAGAAAACTTGCATGTTAAGCTCAGGCTTATCTGGGAGTACATTTCAGTATTGCTCATGTGTCTTAAATGGGCCACTGAACCTCTCTAGATCTCCTTGGTCTAATGAGTAGATGAAATGACTGCTGAAATGTGCTCAAGATTGTATTTGCTAGACAGTGCTCATTGAATGAAGCATCAGGACTGTGATATCGATTGACTATCTGCTCTCCTCTGTGTTCAGTGCAGCTAGTTCAGCACTTGGGAAACAAGGAACACATAATAAGTGCATGAGTGAAAAGATTTTCTTCATCCCTAAATTAGATCATAGATCAGTGTTAGCACATAGGAAATAACATGAATTTAGAGGCAGAAAGAAGAAATGCTCTGTCTTCTTCCATATGCATGAGTTTGCCTAATTAAATTAATTGCCATCCTCTTTTTCCTTTTGTTCAAAATGGATATAGTATGGTTATCCATAGCCTCATGGCCCTGTTTTTCCTGGCCGAGGTGACTATTCAAACAGAGGGAACTACAACAGAGGTGGAATGCCTAACAGAGGGAACTATAACCAGAACTTCAGAGGATGAGGAAACAATCGTGGCTACAAAAATCAATCTCAGGGCTACAACCAGTGGCAGCAGGGTCAATTCTGGGGTCAGAAGCCATGGAGTCAGCATT